GCGTCCCTGGTTGATAGTGGGATCCACCGCCCCGCCCCCCAAAAGCTCAACAATTCTGGTCAACCCAATGGGTAGATCACTGCCGTTTATTTATAGTTGGGAGTAGATCACAGTCTCTTGGAAGTTGGACACCCCTGCTTTAGAGTGACTGTATATGCTACAAATCTGTTAAAAGAAATTTTTAAAACTCATTCGTTAATTCCATCTTTCACAGCATGAAATCACAACAAAAGAAGACTGGCATAGACTGACAGATCTGCTTACAGAATTCCAGATGAAGAATATAGACTTTATTTATAGCAATCTTGAATTCATTTTACCATTACCAGTTAATATACTTCCAGAACCAACGCTAATGGCTAATCCTTCATGTAACACAGTTACAGAGAACGATTCAAGTAATAAGTCTTTGGACAGCGATTGCTTAGAGGAAACAAGCCCTGTGAAAAAGGTTAAACGGACAAAGCGCCAAAGAATTACGGCTTTCTTAGATGATAGTGATTTATTTGAAAGTGATTTAGACTATTCTGGTTTCATTACTTTACCATCTGGCATGCCTAGTTCATGCTTGGAAGAAGAAAAGAGTGGATTGGAACCTGCGATGGGTAACACAGCAGCACTGGACAGTGGAACGCCAGCGAAAGCAAAGAGCTCTGCACCAGCATACCAGTGCCTAAATTCAATAACTGAATTTGTGGACAACATGTCTTTCTTAGATTATTGCTTCAACAGGAGGTGTCAGGAATCAAAACAATCATGTAAATATGAGGAATTTATTTGGACTAAAGGGAAGATAAAAAATGGTCTGTCGGATGAGTTCAGCATGGAGCATAATGACTGGTGGAACTTCAAAAGCTCTGCTGAGCTGAAAGCAGCTGCGGAGGCACTCAGTTTTCACAAGTGCATTAAGACAATTTCGAAAATTATGGAAAGTAACTCTAGCAGGACTCCTGGGAAGGATGAATGGGAAGAACTTGCACTCAATGTTTCAAAAGACAGAGCCGATTTATACTTTGGTCAGTCAATAGCTAATTCCAGGTAAGGTCAAAATGCTGAATAAACAGGGAAAAGGATGCTTTTTTCAGTATATAAAGTTCCAGGGAGAGCAAGGGCTTCCCCCTTCTGTTTTCATGTTGTGAATATTTATTTGCAGAGGTACCTCTAAGCAGTTGAAGCAGTCAAGGGAGACTCCTTGCACAGCAACTCCATGTATGCTTTGGAAGAGCCATGGAATGCTGGTTGTGGGCTAATTATAGAGTTTAATTATTACAAATATTCACTAATACTCTAACATTAGTTGGAGTCTTAATGATGCCTGGTTTTTTGTTTTGTTTTTTTGTCCGGTTTCAGCCTCAGTTTAGATATAACAAAGATGGTAGCAGAACCATCTTTCAAATACGGGGCTGTCATGTGTGAAATGTAGGGAAGGAAGAGATTTTAACAGCAAAAGGACCTTGTAGGTAAAATACATAGAATATTTTCTCTGCCAGCCATGTTACACCTCCCCACAGTTTGAGCCTTTTGCGTGCCTATGTGCAGCAAGCCCCTGTGAACTGGGAAGAGGTGGTAAAACATAGAAATAAACAGCTAAAACAATGTTCTGGAATTGAAACGGCAACAACATTATTGATTGCAGATGTCAGTAAGCTTTGGCTGAGTATCCTGAGTCAGCTGCCTGACTGTGGGCTGACACAGGTACATAAAAAGATGACACACCCACCCACCCCCAGGCCAACATTTATAAGTTCTATGGCTGGCTTTCTTTTAAGCCTGCCATTTCGGACACATGCTACCTAATTTTGAACCTATTACTTATTTAAGTAATGCATATACCATTTTCCAGGCAAATCTCACAAAATAATTTACGCTATTGATTGATTGATTGAATTTATATATCACCCTATACCCGGAGGTCTCAGAGCTGTTCTCAGAACAAAATCAAAATATAAAACCACAAAATATATACTCAAAATAAAAACAACAACCCAATAACCCTCCCCCCCAAACCCCCACGTTTTAAAAGGGCATAGGATGTCAATCAAATTGTTTAATAGCTTCTATGGATGACGCAGGGTTCTTGTTACAGCAGAGGTTTGACAGAGTCCAGGTTACATTGCGCAGGTAGCCAAGAGCTATAGAAGAGATCAGGAACAGCAAGCAAAGCCAAAAGCGGTTCAAGTGCACCATATTTAATAACCAAGTCTCTGTAGGCAGAACCATCACCAGCAATATTTCCTAAAGCCCCCACAGCTTGCTCACTGATGTGCATATGGGGGGAAGCCAGCAAGGAAATAAAGGCAGGTATTGCTCCACCATCTACAACAGTTTTTGTCTGTTCAGACGTGCCAGAGGCAATATTGGTCAATGCCCAAGCAGATTCAAACTGAAAAGGGCTGCAATCTACACTTCTCAAGAAGGATACAAGCTTTGAGAGCTACATCAGAACTACTTATTGTAGTATATTTGAAAAATGTTTGCCTTCAATGGGATGCTTGCTTGAGGCTAAATCCTGGGTTCTATAAGGGCAAAAATACTAGAACTGGATCATAAAAATTCAGGAATTAAATAGATGCTAGTTCAGCACAGTATAACAGCGATTGTACATTGGGCACATTTACTGAAATTTAATCTGTTATTTCTTGTTAAACTAAGGGGGGGAAACCTATGTGCTTTTCTTTTGCAGCATTTACCATAATGCACAGAAGAGGTTGGAAATAATCGAAACTGTATTTTCCAGTAGACCTTCTTTAAATATTTGTAACAGACAAGCAAGTGTAGTGGATTACCTGCCTATTCTCCGCAACATCTGCAAGTTGGAGAAACAGAAAGAACAGGGGAAAGCCAAAAGAAGGTAATCTTCATGTTATTAGCAACACAATCATGTTCATATCTTATCAGGAGACACACACTGCAATCCTATGCTCACTTAACATTAAACTCATGCATGCTGCATTTTCTTTCCCTTCTTTCTTTCAAAAAGACAGACCATTTTTCTTCATTTCTTTTTGAACAGATTTCTCCACTACCTTGAAGGAATTCACTTTGATTTTCCAAGAGAAATTTTGAACAGCCTGGCAAATGACTTTCCATAAAACAAACCCGTAGGACCTTTGAATATACATTAATGATTTTATGTACAGAGTGTTGCTTATATTGTGAATCTTTTAAGTATTTAAAAATACAAACTGTATTTTGTATATATCTATCGCCAAGGTACTTTCCACATTCCAAATGTGAAGTGACTATGTGTTGAAATCTACACCAGATGCATTCAAATACAATCTGAAGCATATCAAGCCCATTGCTGCAACTACTGTATTGGCTGACTTTTTAAGGTGTGGGTTTTGTCCCATATATTCAGGCATAATACCGTGTTTATAAGGTGCTATTCTAATTTCCACATAAGTATGGTGCTACTTGGGAAAAGATTAGCCAGCTGATAATGAGGTAACCGTAAACTTTTTTGCTGTTACATTGCAAAGGCTGCATTTGGGCTTGGTTTTATGTGTGTGCATATGAGCCAGTAATGTTTTCTTCACCAACACAGTAAGGTCTTCAATCAGTTTGGAGAAATAATCTGTGTTTTGTAAATTTATACTAAAAGTTCTACTGGGTTGTATAGTCGTATTTATCTGTATTTATCTGTAACCCTATACATTTTATTTTTATACTATCTGATATTTTCCTACCACTACACTTGAAGTTATTCTGGGTTATTTTTTAATTTTTTACCTACAGTGAAATAATAAATATCTGGATGGGCTTTGAAACCTATTTCTTGCAGGGTGACTTTTAGATGTAAGAGTAGAAATTACCCCCAGTTATAACCATTAATCATACTTTCGAACTAGGAAGGCATTTGAAAATTGCTGAAGACTGCTGCATACATGTCGATAGGTTGGAAAAATAGCCTATATGTATATATTAATAACAGCTCTTTGCCACTCCATCACTAAGGTTCTCTGAATGGCTTATACTAAAATGCAGCCCAAAACCATTAAAATCCTTAGTGCCGTTCTCTTTGAAGCAATAAGAAGATCTTGTATCAAGAGCTGTGGAAAGCTTTTTGAAGTAGCAGCAAAATGTAATAATTTTAAGAGCCCTGCCCGCTCAAACCAAATGCTCATCTAGTCCACTGCTCCATTCTGCTTCATGCACCACCATATAAGCATATCAACTGACAAGCATTTAAGACAGTCCACCAGGAATCCAAAACGTTCCATAGAATCCAAGCATTTAGCACACTGCATCTTTGTTTTGTTACTTTGGACAGCAGAGGCAAACAGTAGATGATCCAAGACTTGTTAGCGATGGTAACTTTTTATTTAGATTTAGCCTCCATAGTTGCTATGTGGAGCTATAAGGATAGTAGCAGCTCTGAAAGGAAATGGGTCTATAGCATGAATCTAAACATCTGATTTGGTTTACGTACAGACATGTTATAAAAGATACCTTGATTGTCAGAAGGGGAGCAGGTACCCCATCTGTAATCTAAATGTAGATCCTGTTACATTCACATTAGACCTGCATCTAAGGCGGGGTTAGCTAATTGCGTGTCCTCTAGCTATTGCTCAATGATAACTCTCATCATGCCTGACCATTGGCCATGCTCACATGGGAGTTAAGAGGCCAACAATATCTAGAACATGCCACATTAGCTAACCCTGGCTTTGATGCAAGTCTCGTGTAAATATAACAAGAACTAGGTTTAGGTTACAGATGGGGAACCTGCTCCCCTGCATGTGTTTTAGGACAACTCCCATCATTCCTGATCATTAGCTGTGTTGGCTGTGACTGATGAACAGCTGGAGGGCTTAGAGGTTCCCCGTGTCTAGTTTTAGACACTGCACCACAAGTTTATGCACCTGTCACTTAATTCATTCTGTGAGGCTGTTACTAACCATGGTTAAAATGATCCTGTTTTATGTTCTTCCACTTTTTTTCAGTCAATCCTAACCTAAAAAACACCTCATGTTACTATCAACAATCCTGACACAAAGTGTTTCTACACATTTAATAATTTTATTCTACAAAATTATATTCTACATATAATTTTATGTCAGCAGGAATTAAATGCTGTTTTTCTATCACAATCTTCCACGTGCTGTCCAGCACCCCCTATACAGTGAATCAGTTGGAACTTATTGTACAGATCATCCATGAGAGCAATTAACAAGCAATTAACAGATCATCCATGACAGCAATTAACAATTAATAAGAACTAAGTCGTATTCAGTATCAGTAGCTCATAAAAAGCTATTGCCTGCAGCAAGGAATCGCACAGCTCTTCGTCTCTCCACTGTTTGTTTGATGACAAGACGTTTCGATAATTTACTACCTGCTCTCTTGAAAAGCTCACACGGGGCTCAGCATGCGTGACAGATTCTAAGAGAAACTGTTTCACAAGGTCTATTCCACTAGTTCGCGAGTCCCCAACCATCAACTCAAAGTGCTTTCCTACAGCACTTCGGGCCATACTTAATACTTTGTACTGGCCATCCTGCGAAAATGTTTTTTGTAACAACGCATAGAGCATGGCTTCCACTGTACGAAGATGTAATGTTACTGGAAACAGATTTGCATTCAGAGCAGAAAGTCCGCTTTTTTCCAAGACATAAAAATCTGCTTCAGGAAGCCGGGATATTACTGAAGAAATCTGAAATAAACAAGCACTGAATAAATAGTAGCAATCCACCATAAACATAGTATCTCCAGTCCTATGAGATATGTTTTACACTAGACACACACACACACACACACACACAGATATGTTTTACACTATTTTTTGGTTACCCAGAGCAAGTAATTATATACAGTAGGATGAAGTACATTTTAGAAAGTTTTGGGACTTGCAGCTAGCTGGCTCTGTACATTATCATTAGGAAGGGTGAGATGGCTTGTCTCAAGCAGTAGATTATGGGGATCCCTTAAAGGGCAGCAAACTCAAATTGTATCACCATTAAGGAAGTGGGAGGAATTGGACCTTTTGACTTCAACCCACAAAATGTATTGAGCTATTTTTGTTCATACTCCTATAAGTACCTATACTTTGATAATTAACAAAAAGATCAGACACAGTAGTTCCAGCAATGGGATTTAAAAACAAGGAACAACTTGTCCCCTGGGAGCTGACACTAGCTCAAGCACATGGACTGCAGTAGCATCAATCCTAGTGTTCAAAAGCGGCTCCCTTTCCTGTACAGAGCATCATGCAAAAAACATTTTACAACGAAAGTGCAGTCGTACCTCGGAAGTCGAATGGAATCCGTTCCGAAAGTCTGTTCGACTTCCGAAACGTTTGGAAACCAAAGCGCGGCTTCTGATTGGCTGCAGGAAGCTCCTGCAGCCAATCGGAAGCTGCGGAAGCCCTGTTGGACATTCAGCTTCCAAAAGAATGTTCGAAAACTAGAACACTCCCAGTTTTTGATCATTTGGGAGCCAGAACTTTTGACTCCCAAGGCGTTCAGGAGCTGAGGTATGACTACCAGCCTTTTCCTCTACTGGCCCCCAAACTAAGACTAGTGGCACAACCTTGTACCACGGGAGACTCTTAACTCTCTTTCAAATGAATAGATTCAACAGGAAGTGAAACCATGTTTTAGGATTAAGCTGTCAAGGCTTCTAAGAAATTCATCTGCCAGTATGAAATACAAACAAATTTGAGATGTGGCTAAAGCTTGTTTCTACAAGGATGCAGAACAAGTTAACATTTTTCTATTTAACCTACTGGATCCCTGAACGGTTTCAAAGTAAGGCTGGTTCAACATATGAAAGAATTTCTCTTAAATCATTTTTTTTTTTAATGAGGGGAATCTTACACTTTTTTTAAAAAAAATGCAACATGAATGGAGCTAGAATCATTAACTTAGATGAAGAGATGTCTTTTGTGAGTAAATAGGCAATTCCAATTGAGCAAGGAGTGTGCTGGGGACACCAGTCACAAAATGGGTACCATGGAGGGGGTTACGGCATAACACAAAATTAGACAACCGCACCCAACCACCTTATTTTTACCATGGGAAGTCCTGCTGATTCTGATTGTGGAGATCACACATGCACACAGATGTTGTTGCTACCGAATAGCAACAGGGATCATTTATCATACCAGGAAAAATATACAAGGTAGCTACACTCAGTTCACAGGCTTTAAAGGTACAGTGGTGCCCCGCAAGACGAATGCCTCGCAAGACGGAAAACCCGCTAGACGAAAGGGTTTTCCGTTTTTGAGTTGCTTCGCAAGACGAATTTCCCTATGGGCTTGCTTCGCAAGACGAAACGTCTTGCTAGTCTTGCGATTTTTTCCCCGCTTCACCCCCTTTTTTCTAAGCCGCTAAGCCGCTAAGAGCCTTTTAGCAGCTAAGCCTTTAATAGCCGCTAAACCGCTAATAGCGCTAAGCCGCTAATAGGGTTGCTTCGCAAGACGAAAAAACCGCTAGACAAAGAGAATCGCGGAACGGATTCTTTTCGTCTTGTGAGGCACCACTGTACCTGCACTTTTTGCTCCATAACTTACTTTCTAGGAGGGCTTAGAGACCTACTTCAAAAAAATATCAAAAGCTCAGGAGTCTGGGGTACCACTGGAAGCCTTCACAGCTGCCAGATGAGTGACCTCTGCACTAATCCAATCAATGGCTTAGTTCAAAGCAGCAGGAGTGGAGGAGGAGCAAGTGGCCACAATCTCTTCTGTGGAGCTCTCACACACTTGTACCAAACCATGATTTGGCTTCGTGGTTTCTGCAAACTGGGTCCATATGTAGCTAACAGAACCATGCTGCTCCCAAAAGAAAGATGCTGTTAGAAAAATTGCATACAATCAAAACTTGGCTTACCTCTTCAAGATAGACGGCTGGCATATAAGCACCTTTCATAAACATAGTGCACTCCTGCTGCTGCCAATCCTGAACGGCCAAGCGTCTATTGACATGAGCCCATGCAATTTTGCGAGTGCCAAAAACAATGGATACAATGCTACTGGCAGTCTAAAAGGGAGCACAGGAAAGATTTGTTGGTACTTACAGCATTAACCACATCATGTTTTCTAATACATAATTCCCCCATCTCCTGTTTGCTACAGGTTGTAAAATCTCCCCAGAATGAAGGCTATAACACTGTAAATGCAGTTCTGAGTTTTACAAAAGAAGAATGGCAATTAGTCTCGCTAAGATGGTTGTAAACCAGGGGTCGGCAAGGTTTATCTTGCCTGGGCCGGATCGGTCCCGTAGAGATTCCTCTGGGGGCCGGATCGCGTGCCCGAGATTTTTGGCCTCTGTGCAGACGTGATTTCCGGCACTGCGGAAGCAAGTCCCTGTCGCGTGCTGGTTTAGCACAGCGCATGAGCGGGCAGCTCAGTTCGGGGGTGGCTCGTGGGCCGGTCAAACGACCTCCGTGGGCTGCTTCCGGCCCATGGGTCTTAGGTTGGTGACCCCTATTGTAAAAGCTAAGGGGCAATTCTTCACACATGCAGGTTAAACACGTGGCAGAATACAGAAGTGAGTAGTTGGCTTATGCATCCTTATTCACAGAACAAATACAGTGGTGCCCCGCAAGACGAATGCCTCGCAAGACGAAAGGGTTTTCCGTCGCGGAGGCGCTTCGCAACACAAATTTCCCTATGGGCTTGCTTCGCAAGACGAAAACGTCTTGCGAGTCTCGCTATTTTTTTTTTGCTCCCCCCCCCTTTTTCAAAGCCGCTAAGCCGTTAATAGGCTTTTAACAGCTAAGCCGCTAATAGCGCTAAATCGCTAATAGCGCTAATCCGCTTAGCCACTAATGGGGTTGCTTCGCAAGACGAAAAAACCGCTAGACGAAGAGAATCGCGGAACGGATTCTTTTCGTCTTGTGAGGCACCACTGTAGCTACTAATATGAAGCACTGTATAAATCCTAAGCACCACCACAAGCAGTGCCCGACTGCACAATCTTGCCAGGAGAAATGGCTGAATTGCATTAATGACCTACTCTCATAGGCAGTATGCCCCCTTGCTGCACAGATACCCACATGCTTGGGCTGTGAGTGAGCTTGTTTCAAGACATTTCTTATAAAATGTACATTGTCCAAAGAACAGTACACCAAGTTCTGCCCACCCGAGGGAACTTCTGCCTCATGTTTCTTGAACAGCAGTGCCCCCCTCCCTACAAAATAACAAGACAATTGCTATTGAGTAAGCTTTAAAATGCACTGGGTTTGCTGGACAAGTTTTTTTTTTAATAATCTCATTGAGAAAATTCAAGCCCTTCAGAGGAAGTTTTTGAATCCACCATTACACATAATTCTGCCTAACCATCTAAAATATTAAAAGCCACACAGCTGAATTTCATTGATATTTACTCAGAAGTAAGCCCTGCTTGATTTAATGGGATTCAATGACTTGTTCCCAAGTTGCATGACTGAAGACTTAATGTTACTATGTGGGAAATGGCAATATTCATAGGACCCAATGAAAACGATACCTCTAGCCGCTCTCTTTCTATATCAGGTTTGATATATTTCATTGCAGACGTGGCACTCTGTATTTTTTTCTCTTTTCTTTCTTCTTTTGCATTGGGATTGAGAATAAAGTTGCAGACTTTAATAGCTGTTTTATACTGAAAAAGAGGCACTTCTAGTAAGCACTGTAAATTCCGAAATGGCCCGTGCTTGTTCCTGTACTCTATTATGTTCATGGACTTCCTTCCTCGCATTAGTTTCACAGCACTAAGTTCTTTCTCGGATGCTGAATTTAGTAGCTGCAAAACAGTAGATTTCTGCTCGGTAGAATACAAGTCATCTATTGCACGTTTTGCCTCCTTAAAATTCTCAGCTGCTGATGCAGAATTCAGGTGTGTGACATATGTTGACTTCTTGTGACACAGTAGAAGATATAAAGGTTGAAGTGAAGATGAACCAAATGGAACCTGCAGAAAGCATCTTCTACCTGAAAATAAAGTGCCTGTCATGTTTGAGTCATTTCACCAGCATGAGTAATATGTTGAAAAAATTCAGTGGATCGTACACACCAATTCTCATCACAGATCTATCAAAAAGGCCACACTGTCAGGGTCTTCTCTACATGCCTCTCCAAAACCTGTAAATGGATTCTCAATGTCCTGTAATTGTTATGCCAAATAATAAGGAATAGTTTAGCCAAACTTTTCTGTGTCAGTCAGCAATAAAAGACACAAGTAGGTGTATTGAACAGGACTTCTGAATACACATTTATTTTATTTTTGAAACTTCCTGCCCTTCATCCTTGGAAGAAGAATCTGTGTGATGGGCAAAAAAAGAATATTTTATGTATTCTTTCTCAAGAATCCAAGGTTAGTTAGTTGGGTATGTTTAATCTGGATAAGAGGAGACTGACAGGAGATATGATAGCCATCTTCAAATATTTAAAGGGCTGTCACATGGAGGATGGAGCAAGCTTGTTTTCTCCTGCTACAGAGACCTGAACCAATGGATTCAAGTTACAAGAAAGGAGATTCTGACTAAACATGAGGAAGAGCTTTCTGACAGTAAGAGCTGCTTGACAGTGGAACAGACTCCCTTGGGAGTTGGAGAACTCCCTTTTAATGGAGCTTTTTATGCAAGCTGGATGGCCATCTGTCATGGGTGATCTAGCTGAGATTCCTGCATTGCAGGCAGTTGGGCTAGATGACCCTTAAGCAGGGCCAGATTTAGGTTTGATGCGGCCCTAAGCTAGGTAATGGGGCCCTTTATATGCCCAGCTGTCCTTTGTCAACAACAAATTGTCGTTGTTTTTTGTGTTGAACATATGCTACATGGTAATTTATGGACCTAATAGGTATCTAAAGCCATTTGCACATAACAAAATACAGTGGTACCTCGGCTTACATACGCTTCAGGTTACATACGCTTCAGGTTACAGACTCCGCTAACCCAGAAATAGTACCTCGGGTTAAGTTAAGAACTTTGCTTCAGGATGAGAACAGAAATCGTGCTCCGGCGACGCGGCAGCAGCGGAAGGCCCCATTAGCTAAAGTGGTGCTTCAGGTTAAGAACAGTTTCAGGTTAAGAACCGACCTCCGGAACGAATTAAATACTTAACCCGAGGTACTACTGTATGTATTTTATCAAAGTAATTGTTGAACTTATCTTGCCGGGGTATAAATAATATATTATTATTATTATTATTATTATTATTATTATTATTATTATATTTTGGAAATGTACATCCAGTTTCTTTTTTCCCTTTTTTTGGAGGGGGGCCCCCCAAGAGAGCCCAGCGTCTTGCTTTAAGGCAGAGCTTTTCAACCTTTTTGAGTCCATGGCTCCCTTGACGCAACTACCTTCTTTCTGCAGCAGCCCTGTGGGGCTCAGGAGCCCAGTTAGGTCACCCCTTGCCTGCAGAGCCGGCAGCCCCTCACCCTTTTCAAACGCCTTCCCTTGTGGGGAGTTCCCTCAGCCTCCTCTCTTCTCCCCTCTCCTTGGGGCAGCTGCTGCCCCCGGTCTCTGAGCTGCCCCAAAGAGAGGCGCCTCCTCGCACTGCCCCACAGGGACCTGGAAAGCACCCCCTGGCCAGCCCCAGAGGCACCATTCACCCAGGGAGCTTGGAGCCAGGGCTGCTGCTGCAACAACCAGCTGTGCAGGCCTTTGGGAGGCAGAGATGCAAGAAGGCCTCAGAGAGGCTTCTCTTCCAATTTCCACCCCGTTAGGAAACCTTCCCTCGAAAGCACCAGTGCCGTCTCTACCTGCCCGGAGAAGGTCGGGAAGCCCTCTCCAGCCCATCCTCGCCCACTTCGGCTCGGTGCAACACGCTTCTCCTTCCCCCTTCTCCGCCTCCGTTCCATTGGCACGCCCTCAAAAGGAGTCCGTCCGTCCCCACACGGCAACCGAAGCCAGTGCGCATCGTTCCGGCTCCCTCCCGCGGCTCTAAGAAAGTTAACACGCGTGTTTCCCTCGGCCGCCGCCGCTGCTCGTGGGAACCCGCGCTTCTGGACGCCCCCACCCGTTGTCTTTTGCCGGGGGTGGAGGTGGGAAGGCTGCTCCTTGTTTTCACCCTTAAATGAAGATGAGAGAACTGCTTCGCGTGTGACCCGCAGCTGTTTTCTACACGGGAGCGCGTCCCTTCCCACGATCGGAGGCCGAGAATCGCAAAGGGTTATTATACTCGTGTCCGCTCTAACGTGAGGATGGAGACCACATACACACCCCGCGGCCCTTCCCCGCGCAACTGGGTAGGGGGAGGCTAGTGGGGGCGACGTACCTCTGCTGCTCCTGACTCTGCACTCTTGCATTCGCACGTTCAGGCCTGACCGGCAACCGGGACTACATTTTACACGGCGGAGAGGCTGTTGAAAGCCACAAATTCACAGCTCTTCGCCCGCCCCCATCTAAAAACAGCAACAAGCCCTGCGATAGAGAAGAGGAGCGGAAGCGCAAACTACTCTCTTTTCCTTCCAAGTACAGAAACTTTTCTATCCTAATACTGTAAAAGAAACTGAAAGTCCCCCAGAGCTCTGCCTCCCTTCAGCCATGGCTACCGCCGCGGAGGCTGTTGATCTTGCTAAGAATTTGCAGGACGAATTGACTTGCTGCCTTTGCCTGGATTTTTTTAACAAGCCAGTACTGATTATAAAATGCTCCCACAGCTTCTGCAAGGAGTGCATCTCTGAGCACTGCAAAAAGATGGGGCCCAAGGCATTGTGCCCCAGGTGCAGGGGGGAGCTCCGTCAAAATAATTTGGTAGACCATAGATCACTTGCGAACATAGTGGAAACTTACCAGCAGATGAAGAAAAACCAGCAGGAATTGTTGGGACCCTCCTGGAGAGAGCACCCAGCAGCCAGTGGATCCCAGGATCTGAAGTTGTCAGCTGGAGTTTTCCCATATCAGCTCAAGGTATGTACGGGCTTGATTAGAACGCTGTTGACACATACATTTGTGGCTGGGTGACTGCAAAATCTAAGGGCAATTAGACTGCATGTGGCAAAGGATAATCAATTATCAAATGCCACAGGCAAAGATCAAATACCAAAGGCAATTCTTGTCGGTGGGTAGTACACATATTAGGCTGGGACTGGTCAAATATTGAGTTTTGATAAAGCACTAAAATATTAGGAGGTGTACATGCTCATATGAACTGGTTCTAGAACTTCAAGCAGCAGGGTTTGATTCCTTAATGGCAGGAGGACTAAGTGTTACATTTCAACGGGACGGAAGGAAAATATCTCCCGCTGTATAGCAAAGAAAATCTGATAATGGTTTGTATTCAAAATAGTGCTAAGTGCTTGCTTGGGAAAGTGGAAAAACCCCTCCTCCCCTTGACCCTACCCCCCAAAAATATGTTTGTGGTTTTCTAACCCTCCAGAGCAGATACTTTGCCCATTCCTTTGTTGCCACACTTTGGACCACACTTTGGGGAAGAAGAGCCTCAGATGAGAATCGCAGGATCCCGGTCAATACATATGGGGAGAGGCGGTCTGTAAGGTATTGTTTTCAAGATCTAGGTTTATATGTGGCTTGTGGTTTTCCATCCTCCAGGAAGTGGTGAAAATAAGTGAAGTCTGCAAACAAATAGAAGTGGCGTTTGAAGCAATCGACAAGTGCACGAAGGACAGCGCTGAAATGAAGGTTGGTACTTGAATGAGTTGCGATGATATGTTTGGCTTCTTTCTACCCTCTCCTCTTCTGGAACATGTAGAGGCCTTTCGGGGTTGTTGTTTATTTGGTCAGAGAGTGTTCAGTTGAGGTCTGCCGTGCCCCTTCCTCATAATTCATATGATTGCAAGGGGATGGCATGTTCTAGTGTCATAGAACTGAAGAGTTGGGAAGGACCACAAGAGTCATCTATCTAGTTCCCCCCAGCAGTATAGGAATCTTTCACCCAACTTGGGGCCCTGAGATAAAGAGCCACATGCTCTATCGACTGAGCTATCCAATTTGGTTATTACAGCGGTACCTCGGTTTTCAAACATAATCCGTTCTGGAAGACTGTTTGAGTTCCGAAACGTTAGAAAACCAAAGCATTTGCTTATGGAAACATTTACTTATGGAAAAGTAAATACGGAAATCACATAGCATGTTCAACTTCTGAAAAGTATTTGAAAACCGAAGCATGTACTTCTGGGTTTTCGGCGTTCGAAAAACAAAACATTCAACTTCTGAGACGTTCGAAAACCAAGGTGCCACTGTACATCCATTCGCCCCAATATTCCACATACCACAAGAGGCCATTTATTAATTCAATTGAGTCAAGTTGTAAAGTTGTACTTCGAATTGTGCCATCCTCGTTTGTAGATCATAAGCCAGATATTGATATTCTTATATAAAATCCCATAGTTTTAAAAGGCAGAAGCCCACGTAGGGGTTGAGAATTCCTATCCGTGGGGTAGAGGGGGAGCTGAACTATCCCAAAAGCATTTGAAGAGTTGTGTCACACCTCTTAGGAAGCTCTGAGCTTATGTGTCCTCCTAAATCAGCTTCTCTTCCCTTGGTTTTAGGATTCTGTATCTCGGATCAAAAGTTCCATTAGAGAAGGCTTCAGTTTTATGAAGAAGTATATTAATGATCAAGAGGAAACGGTGCTGAATGTTATTGACGAAGAATGTGCTGCCACTCAACAAAGCATAGACTTAATGAATGAGCAACTCACAGCAAGAATTGACAGGCTTTTGGAACTGCAAAGTAACTCTGAGGAAGTGATTAAGGTAAAAGCGGTGGGGGAGGAATGAGATTAATGGTGCACACTTACTTGGATATAAGATCTATTGAACAAATTGGATTTGTTTTCTGGGAAAACAAGTATAGGATTGAGATGCATGCCATTGTAGTTTGAATTTGAATTTGATATCCCGCTTTGTCACTACCCGAAGGAGTCTCAAAGCGGCTAACAATCTCCTTTCCCTTCCTCCCCCACAACAAACACTCTTGTGAGGTGAGTGGGGCTGAGAGACTTCAGAGAAGTGTGACTAGCCCAAGGTCACCCAGCAGCTGCATGAGGAGGAGCGGAGATGCAAACCTGGTTCACCAGATTATGAGTCTCTTAACCACTACACCACACTGGCTCTTCCAGTGGAAAACAAAAACAATGCCTAAACTTATTCTCCAATTCTAAAGATATGATATGTAAATTAGTCCCATGGACTTTAGTGGACCATCCCTTTAATACAGGGGCCTATGGCCCTTGTTGGACCAACTCCCAGCATCCCTGACCTACAGAAGGCTTCCCCCTTTGTTTTTGTTGTAGCAGTTCTGAACACAAACCCGTAAAGCAGCATTTAAATTTCCTTTTTCTCAGTCCTCATCCCCCTGTCCAGATGTGTTTATGAGTTACGCAGAAACTTGAGAATCATATTTGAATGGGCTCAGTTTATATTGCCTGTATCTTAAGGACCATATGCAACTTCTTTCAAAGGGAACCTGTCAGGTACAGTACTTGTAAAAAAATTTCTGTTATGCTAAGTTTATCAGATAACACTTTGCCTGCTGATTTTAGTAATGCATCTCATGATTTTCTAAAATATTGTAGCAAGCCTTGAGTTCTTATGTGAATAGAATGTAGAATAGCATTTATAGCATTTGTCCATAGACCACAGCAGAAATCCTTTGTGATTTAAAAAAGTGGCATATAAACAAACAAACAAATAAAAATTTGTTTTCCAGGAGCTCCAGGATTAAGATTTTAGGGCAAAAGGAATAACAAATATACAGTGGTGCCTCTGGTTATGAACTTAATTCGTCCTGGAGGTCCGTTCTTAAGCTGAAACCGTTCTTATCCTGAGGCACGCTTTCGCTAATGGTGCCTCCTGCTCCGCGTGCCTCTGGCATGCGACTTCCGCTCACGTCCTAGGGCAAAGTTCGCAACCAGGAGCAACTACTTCTGAGTTAGCGGAGCTTGTAACCCGAAGCATGCTTAACCAGAAGCATTTGTAACCAGAGGTACCACTGTATGTGACAGAACTGGAGGATTTTAGAAATGCCATTTATTCATACTAGCCCCTGAATTAAAATACCATATTTTTCCGTGTATAGGACTAGGTTTTTTTCCTTAAAAATAATGTCAAAACTAGTGGGTGTCTTATACACGGGGCCATCTCCCCCCATTTTCTTAAATTGGGAGTCCCCCAAAATAAGGGGTGTCTTATACATGGGGGCGTCTTATAGACGGAAAAATATGTTTGTTTGTTTGTTTGTTTACTTTGTGTTAATATTATCAGCATTCTTTGGAAGGTTTTAGACTGTCCTGGATAGATTTATATACAGATGTATTCCAGATATATTTTTTCCATTGGAAATTTTCAGTCCACTGCTACAAATCTACACTTTTCTAACTTAAGAGTTGTCAGAAATCCTCGCTGGAAATGTTGCTTTTTGTTGTGATCCCCCCCATTATTAGACTACCTCATCGGAACAAGAAGTTTCCATCGGTGAGCCTATCAGAGTGACCGAAGTTGTTCTTGGTGTTCAGAAGATTTCTGGCATCGTATATGCTGTGGAAGAGTTCAGAAGGCAGCTGGATAGGGCAGTGCTGGAAAAATGCCCCAGGCCGCAGCCTCGTGGTGAGTGGAGTTTGAAATTTTCCACTAGCTAAAGGAAGTCTGACATGTGTTTGATCATTACCAAGCTGAGTCCTGTAAGATGCTGAAGAAGTAAATAGGAGTCTGCATATTTACACCAGTGTAATGCTGACAGCCAGAAACATTCAGTAAGTACTGCCTTGGCTGGATCAGACCATGTCTGGCATTGTGTCTGACAATGATAGCAGCCAAATGCCCCTGGGAAGTAAGTGAGGAGGGCTTCATAGATGATTTGCCCCACCACAGAGCACTCTGAATTTCTGGAATTTCCAACTACAGTCATACCTTGGGTTACAGAGACTTCAGGTTGCGTTTTTTCGGGTTACGGACTGCCGAAACCCGGAAGTACCGGAACGGGTTACTTCCAGGTTTTGGCGGTTGCACATGCGCAGAAGCGCTAAATCATGCTTTACGCATGCACAGAAGCGCTGAATCGCAACCCACTCGTGCGCAGGTTGCAAACGCTGTGAGTTGCGAAAGTGCATCCCACACGGATCATGTTCGCAACTCGAGTGTCCACTGTATAGGTCTTTTTTTTTTAATAGGATCAAAAAATTTAAAGGGACCCCTGACCGTTAGGTCCAGTCGTGGCCGACTCTGGGGTTGCGGCGCTCATCTCGCTTTATTGGCCGAGGGAGCCAGCGTACAGCTTCCGGGTCATGTGGCCAGCATGACTAAGCCTCTTCTGGCGAACCAGAGCAGCACACAAAAACGCCGTTTACCTTCCCGCTGGAGCGGTACCTATTTATCTACTTGCACTTTGACGTGCTTTCGAACTGCTAGGTTGGCAGGAGCAGGGACCGAGCAACAGGAGCTCACTCCATCACGGGGATTCAAACCGCTGACCTTCTGATCAGCAAGCCCTAGGCTCTGTGGTTTAACCCACAGTGCCACCCGCGTCCCAGTTTTCTTAATCTTTACAGCTGTGACAATTTGTATTAGTGCAGTGAACTTGATTTTGGATTAATATATTAAGATATCCACACATATGCAAACAAATTCAAGGTGCTTTCTTCACTCGACAGACACCCTTTTCTTTTTCCTGTTCTGCCAACACTATGAGTACTGGACCCTGTTTGTCATACAGACAGGACTGCTTGATGAGAGGTTTATTCTGTTGAGACTGCTGTTTCAGTTCTGGCGAAATGGGGAATTTTAAGGAGGAAATATTAAGGATAGCCTTTCTTTTTTAAAACTGTGAGTGATAGCTGCTATTATTAGCAATGTGTTTGCGTTGTGTTTCCTGCAGTATCCCAGAAGGGAACCTCTGTTGAGGTTTTGATAATAGGCAGATTTATTTAAATTGGCTAATTATTAAATCGACAAGTTCCTTTGATGATTGGCAGCTCTAGTGCTTATATTTCCCCACGTGTGGACGTGTTCACAATATTTAGTAATTTTAGGCCAATGTGAGTAATTACATAGATGTTTAATGATACAGTGGTACCTCGGGTTACATACGCTTCAGGTTACATACGCTTCAGGTTACAGACTCCGCTAACCCAGAAATAGTGCTTCAGGTTAAGAACTTTGCTTCAGGATAAGAACAGAAATCGGGCTCCAGCGGCGTGGCGGCAGCAGGAGGCCCCATTAGCTAAAGTGGTGCTTCAGGTTAAGAACAGTTTCAGGTTAAGTACAGACCTCGGGAGCGAATTAAGTACTTAACCTGATGTACCACTGTACTCCAAAATCCACAGTTGGGCAATACCTTTATTTGGACCCAATTAAAGTATCACAAAGGTGTGGCAAATTTTGTGAGTTTTCGAGAGCTCTTCATCAGAGAAGATGGTGCGCAAAAGTGGGTAGGGGCAATAAAAAGACAAGGGTTTAAAAATTAGGCTGCATGTTGTTGCCATGGGGTCTGCTCAAAGACAGTTCCAAGATGTAGATTGTTGTCCAAATAAGTCCCTCACATATACAGAAGTTTTTACTTTGAATATGAGTTTAAGGACCCCAGATTCTCATCTAATTCAGATCTAAAACCATAGTCTGCAAAGAAGGAACAATTTGACATGTGCTGTCAACACAGGCTTCGCGTTTCAATAATTTAACTGAGCGTTCTTTTTTTTTGTTTTTGCTGCAGAATTTTCTCCAGGAACAAGTAACATGACTTGTGACTCTAATGATATCCAAACCAACGTGGCAGAGGATGAAATTGCCTCCACCAGCAGTTCTTGTGAGTAGTTAACTAACTGAATCTTATTCCTTCTCTGTTGCTCTCATGCACACGAGTGATTTTACAACTTTGAGCAGCTGCACAGAAGTTCATGGGACTGCAGTCTCATTCTTCAAGTTGTGGCAGAAGTTTTTTTCTGAGTTGAAAGCCACAGCTCCCTCTAGTTAATGTTCAATGGGCCCCTGGATCTTTTCAAGAAAAATAGTGCTTTAAATGTTGAGCACCGTAAGAAATCAAGGAACTTCTCTGTATACTCCCGCACTGTGTGGTCTCAGAGCACATGAGGTTGGTGAAGCTAAGCAGGTGTAGGTCTGGTTAGTTCCCGGATGGGTGACCACATGGAAAACACATGGATACTACCTTTGGTTGCATTGCAGAAGAAAGATTGAATGGAAATGTAAGAAAAGTAAATAAATACAGTCGTACCTTGGTTTTCGAACAGCTAAGTTTTGGCTCCCAAACATTGCAAACCTGGAAGTGGCTGTTCCAGTTTGTGAACTATTTTTTGCAGCTGGGGCTTCCACGGCTTCTGATTGGCTGCAGGAGCTTCCTGCAGTCAATCAGAAGCCACGCTTTGGTTTCCAAACGTTTTGGAAGTCGAATGGACTTCCGGAACGGATTCCATTCGACTTCCAAGGTACGACTGTAAATGTATAATCCCAGGGAGGGGTTTTTAGGGCCTCCAGTATATTCTGCAGCTATCACATGACAGCATCCCTCTGTTGTTGGTTAAGGACCTCTTACTTGCAAACAAAGGGACGCGGGTGGTGCTGTGGGTTAAACCACAGAGCCTAGGACTTGCCGATCAGAAGGTCGGCGGTTCAAATCCCCGCGATGGGGTGAGCTCCCGTTGCTCAGTCCCTGCTCCTGCCAGCCTAGCAGTTCGAAAGTACATCAAAGTGCAAGTAGATAAACAGGTACTACTCCGACAGGAAGGTAAACAGTGTTTCCGTGCACTGCTCTGGTTCACCAATTGGCTCGGCCAATAAAGCGAGATGAGCGCCGCAACCCCAGAGTCGGTCACGACTGGACCTAATGGTCAGGGGTCCCTTTACCTTTACCTTACTTGCTAACAAGGGGACTCTCTTTATTAGCACTCTATCAAGATTCTCTTCAGGGAACAAGCTGCTCTTCTTCAGCAACGTCATCGGCCAGAGATAGTCCAATGCCAGCAATTTCAAGTCAGTTTTCTCAATGTAAGTATAAGTCACTGTATATACAAGATAGTGGTGTTAGGAAGTGTGGACATGGCATTCAATGAACCCTTGTTTTGGTCCTGCAAGACCTAGATTGATTGTCCTGCTGCTGAATTCTGTCAGCTTATGTCCGGTTAAAGCAGTGTCGGATTTACGTATAAGCTAAACAGGCTATAGCTTAGGGCCCCACTCTCTTGGGGGCACCCCAAAAAATTAAAGGGAAAAAAACCAATGATGTACATTTCCAAAATATAAGATAAAAAAACAAATAAAATAAAACCTACATACAATTAGAGCTTAATAATAATTTCACTATTAATATACTTCTTCTTAATTGTATTTCTCTATTAATATACTTCTTAATTGTATTTCAGTTCAACAATAACTTTGATAAAATACATATTTTGTTATGTACAAATGGCTTTAGATACCTATTAGGTCCATAAATTACCATATAGCATATATTCAACACAAAAAAATAGTGACAATTTGTTATTGACAAAGGACAGCTGGACATATAAAGGGCCCCATTACCTTCAGTAGCTTAGGGTCTCATCAAACCTAAATCTGGCCCTGAAGAGTCATACTTGTTTGTTTGTCTGTTTTAAGAGTCAAACCTTCACACTGAAATCATGAACTTGCTTTCTTTCAATCCTATGTTTTGAAAATACAGCATGGCATCTCTTAAGCTTTGTTAACTGACAGCTTTCAGAAAGCCTGTTCATTGGTACATTTAGTTTTATTGAGCTGCAAGATGTTTTGTAAACTTCTCCAGATTGTGTGAGATAGGATCTGGTTCTAAATGATTTCCTAGCCACAGAGAAATATTTATCATATACAGTACTCACCCCACCCCCACCAATGTACTTTGGGATTTTTAATTAAATAGCCATGATACAAAATGAGCATTGATTTATTAATTGAATTTATATACCACCCTATATCCAGGGGTCTCAGGCCGGTTCACAGAATAAAATCAAGATATAAAACCACAGAATACATAAATATAAAAACAACAACCCAATAGCCCCCCCCCTTACAAAAAAAACACATTTCAAAAGGGCATAGGATGTAAATCAGATCAGCCAAAGGCCTGGTTAAAAAGTAACATTTTTGCCTGGCGCCTAAAGGTGTATAATGAAGGCGCCAGGCGAACTTCCCTGGGGAGAGCTTTCCACAAACAGGGAGCCACTGCAGAGAAGGCCCTTTCTCCTATTGCCATCCTCCGGACCTCTTGTGAAGGAGATACATGAAGAAGGGCCTCAAAAGATGTTCTCAGGGTCCGGGTAGGTTCATATGGAAAGAGGCAGTCCTTGCCTGTTGCAAGAAATTCTCTTGATCCAGCACGTTGATCTTGTTTAATTTAAATGATTTTGCTTATTACAGGGGCATCCTACGTGACTTTTGATCCCAAGACGATCAGCAACATGCTTCAACTCACAGCAGATAAAAGGAAAGTCTCTGTGACCCCTTGGGACTCTGACTATGAATATTGTCCGAAGAGATTCCGCATCAGCCAGGTGTTGGGCTCCCAGAGTTTCTCTGAAGGGTGTCACTACTGGGAAGTTAGCACCAGAAACAGCGCAGGGTGGGCTATTGGTGTCGCCAGTGAGGACATTGGTAAGAGTGACAAGCTAGGGAGAAGTGAGGTATCCTGGTGCATAGAATGGTCAAGGAAATGGCTCTCAGCATGGCACAGAAATCAAGAAACTCCAATTAGTAAAGAGAAACCTCTGCAGGTTGGCGTTCTCCTCGACATTCCAAGCAATCGCTTATCTTTTTATTCTCTCACTGACAAGGTAACCCTTTTACATCAGTTTGAAATCCATGTGGTAAACCCTGTCTACCCAGCTTTTTGGATTTATGGTACAGATATAGGTGGCTTCTTAACTATAAACGATATCAAAAGGAATTAACCAGAAGCGGTTTAGTCATACTGGCCACGTGACCGGAAAGCTGTCTGTGGACTAACGCCTGCTCCCTCAGCCTGAAAGCACAAAAGTTATGCTAGGGAGCTGATCAAATAGCACAAGGAATTAGGGGTCTAATGGTCAGTGCCTAAGGCAAACTACACCAACTTATTGCCCTCCATATGGTGCTGATGGGAGTTGTAGTCCAAAACATCTGGAGGGCATCAGGTTGGGAAAGACTGCATTATTATTATATTATTATTATTAGTCATCCATCTGACTGGGTTGCACCAGCCAAGCACTACATTGGTACCTCAGGTTAAGAATTTAATTTGTTCTGGAGGTCCGTTCTTAACCTGAAACAGTTTTTAACCTGAGGTACCGTTTTAGCTAATGGGGCCTCCTGCTGCCGCCGTGTCACTGCCACCGCGCAATTTTTGTTTTCATCCTGAAGCAAAGTTCTTAACCTGAGGTACTATTTCTGGGTTAGCGGAGTCTGTAACCTGAAGCGTATGTAACCCGAGGTACCACTGTATGGGTGGCTCCCAACAGAATATTAAAAACATGATAAAGTGTCAAACATTAAAAACTTCCCTATACAGGGCTACCTTCAGGTATCTTCTAAAAGTCCTGAGATTTATCAAGAAAAGCGAAATGCCAAAGCAACTTTATGTTTGACTTCTTGGAGGTTTTTAGAATATATCTTTTGATGCTGCTTTGAGGCTGACCTCCTTTGCAATCTTATGTTCACTTTTTTATAGTTTACATATGCAGGAGGATAGTAAGAACTTTGCAGGGTTCAGACACACTTTGTAGAGATGATAAAGTCTAGAATGTGGGTCAAGAATAAATGAAGGAATATTAATGTTTGGCTTTTTTTTTACATAATATCGTTCTGCTTTTTTATGTTTGCTGGCTGTTTTGTAGAATCTTACAATTAAAATTGTGAAACACGAGGCATCCAAAATAACTTTCTAAAATTCTCTAATAAAATGGCTTTATTTTTTAGCACACAAGACTTTCCCTTGTGCTGTTTCTATAAACCATTTCTGTTTGGATGACGGCACCCCACCAGCTTTGCTCCGTGCTGTATCTCTTAAAACAACCATACAAATACTTGTTGTGAAGCAGTGATGGCCAAACTTGGCCTCCAGCTGTTTTGGGACTACAACTCCCATCATCCCTAGCTAACAGGACCAGTGGTCAGGGATGATGGGAATTGTAGTCCCAAAACAGCTGGAGGGCCAAGTTTGGCCATAACTGTTGTGGAGAGTGCATTGGGAAACAACCAAAGTGCTTTGAACACAACAGGGCTGAAGCACAGCCCATTAGGTAGAGCATGAGACTCTTATCTCTGGGTTGTGGGTTCAAGCCCCGATGTTGGCCAGAAGTAGGGCTGCCACCTGTCCTGTATAATACAGTACAGTGGTGCCTCGCAAGATGAAATTGATTCGTTCCACGAGTTTTGTCGTCTTGCGATTTTTTTCGTCTTGCGAAGCACGGTGTCGGGAAAGTTTTGGAAAAGATTCAAAAATCACCAAAGTCTTTAAAACCTCAAAAAAGGCTACCACACCGCGTGCTATGAGTTGCTCCTCGAAGTCAAGTCACAACTGTATTAACGGTGTTAAGAAAAAGGAAACAAACTTGCAAGACGTTTCCGTCTTGCGAAGCAAGCCCATAGGGAAAATCGTCTTGCGAAGCAGCTCAAAAAACAAAAAACCCTTTCGTCTTGCGGGTTTTTTGTCTTGCAAGGCATTCGTCTTGCGAGGTACCACTGTACAGAGTTATCCATTATTTCAATGTAAAATGCTACATCCTGTATTGACAGTTTTGTCCTGTATTTCATGTCGTCTCTCTCTGTCTCTCCCAGGGTTGTGGGTTCTAGCCTGACGTTGGCCGAAAACATTCTTGCATTGCAGGGGGTTGGACTAGATGACCCTCGTGGTCCCTTTCGAATTTTACAGTTCTGTAATTCTATGAGACAGCACATTTCCAAGTTAACAGCACACAGGGAATGAATGAATGAATGAATGAATGGATAGACAGATAGAAAACTGCAGTGCTTTTTTCTGGGGGGACACAGGAGTACACATACCCCTAAACATTTTGTGAATCTTTGTACTTTTGTCAATTTACTGTATTTATTTCCCCAATTTGAAATGTAAAATGGTGATTTTCTTGAGTCAAAATGAGAGTACCCCTAAACATTTTTAGAAAAAAGGCACTCGGAAAACTGGAGGAAGGTGTGTGTGAGTCACCCTCTTAATTCAGCCTTTGTGTTTCTCTCTAAGAAGAATATTGCAGGCTAGGAAGCCGTTCCACATCCAAATCTCAATGGCGCCCCTTCCTATTTCTTCGCACGGGTTACCTCGCTCGTTCAACTGACAACCGGAAGCGCCCCTTTAATCCCCTCGCGCCCGTAACCCTTTGGGTGCAGCTTCCCGCGCTGAATTCATTTCCATTTCCGACGCGAAAACGAAGCGGGGTACCGCCGCTCTAGGCTCATAGACTTGAAGGCGCCCGACGGCAACCTACTGCACAAGGCCTTTCACCATAGAGCTCGGCATTGGCTAGAGCGGCGGCTCGGCCGAGGCATTGCGGCGGCCTCCAATGGCGGCCACCGGAAGCTCGGCCCCCTTTTCCTCCCCTCCGCCCTGTCACTCTAGCCCGGCCGCCGCCGCCCCTCCCCATCTCTATGGGCCGCGGAGGGGGGGGAGAAGGTTGCGAGCGGGGCGGCGGAGTCAACGAGGAGCCGGTTGCTGGCTGAGGCGAGAGAGGGCGGGAGGTTTCAGCAGGCCGCGGGGCTCTCCGCCTTTCCCTTCCCCTCCCTTCGCCCTCATGTGAGCGGGGCCCCCGGCTTGCGAGGGCCCGGCGGGAGAGAGAGAGAGGAGCGGGGCGATGAAGAAGGACGTGAGGATCCTGCTGGTGGGAGAACGTGAGTTGAGGGGAGAGGGAAGGTCAAGGCTGTGAGGGGAGGGGGCGCGAGGGGGAGGGGCGCAGGTCAACGGCCGCTCCCCCCCCATGGTCAGATAAACGGGGAGGGGGATGCTGGGGGGAGGGGGCGAAGGAGGGAGGGAGTTTGGGGCGCAC